GTTAAAATCATCTGTTAAAAGTTATATATCCTGTGATTTTTATTTAAGTTTCATAAGAGGATTGTCAAAACAAGCTATTGTTAACACTACAGTCTTCTAAAAATAAAAATCACACTGAGTCATACACCAGCTAAATATTAAATAGAAAGGTGATGTTTTCTTTTCCATTTTACAATCAACTGAACCTAAAAATGACTAATTTCAACCTTTGTCTGCACACCTGTTACAGTGGTCAGGCTGGGGTCGCTTAGTTTGAAGGAACCTCCTCCTTTTTTCACCTGTGCTTGGACTAAGAGCTGTGCCAGATGCCCTGCTCACCCACTGTGGTAGAAATGACCTTACACCAGCAGCTCTCCCAGATGAAGAGTCCTCTCTGCCATCACCCAGAGGAGCTGATCGACGTCTGAAGAAGGTGGACAGAGTCTGGTGCTTTGTAACAGTGAACAGTGAGAAGGCTACCATAGTCATCCTCAGATAAAACACAGAGATCCAGGTCAATATTTAATTTATTTTTCTTTACATGATGTTGCCCTGTGTTTGAAAGGCCAGATGCTGGAGGGTTGTGTTGGATTTGCTTTTCCATCATATTTTAACAGTCAAACAATCATCCAGGATCTCTATGCTTCATTTGATTTTTCTTGGGATTCCTTTGTTAAATTATTTTTTATACTTTCTCCTATGTCCCAGCAATTGGACCTGATTGTCTCCCATACTTATTTTCCACATGGTTAATGAAGCCAGGGGTTGAAAAGATTTCTTTTCATAAAATGTTTAAATAAACTTTTTAAAAATCTGATATGACTGTCTCTGATTAACTGGAGTACAACAAAGTGTTGGTCACAGTAAAATAATTTAGCAGTTAAGTTTATAGCTCACATTTGAAAAGGCCTTGAACTGACATGAATTTCTTCTTGACCAACAACAGCTAAGACAACAGCAAAGCTAACAGACGAGCTCAGCTTGTCACAGCCGGTCTCGTCTGAGATAAATGGCCTTCAAACTTATTTAATATTAAACATTTAAAGCCAATAAGCATAGCAAGATACGCATGAGATTCCATTTCAATTTATTCAATCACACACTTGTCAAACAGTCTGGCATGTTGTGCTGCTGTTTTCAAGAGTTAATAACTGAAGAGAAGAACTCCATGGAGGGAGGACAGGAAACGCTCAGGGGACGAGTCCTCCATGTTGTCAGGGGTTGCTGATGGATCTGAATCTGAGAGCATCTTCTGTAATTAAGAAAAACAATCACAGAGTTAAATGTAAAGTAGAATAAATTTTACTGTGATGTTTATGCCTCAGACCTGAAATCAGATCTGTCCTCAGGTTCTGCTAAACTTCAGCTTCTAAAGTTTATTTTAAAGACAGGAGAACTATTAAAAAGGAAAAACAAAATATATAATAAGACATGATGAATTCAATAATATGATCAGCTTTATGAATTTATGTTTTAAGACAAAAGTGTTCCTGCCACTTTCTATTGAAGATTATTTTAAACTGTCATCACATGGGCCAGCCTGATGAATTAAACTAATGTTAAACATTCTCATATAATCAGACAGCCAATTTGTGTGCAGAACCTCACCGGAGCTGGAATCAGACTCTGGACTGCTGTTTCCTTTGGGCATTGATTTCCTTGAAGACAGAAAGAAGAACAATTTAAACATGAACTTCTTGCAGAACCATAGAGGCTGTTAAAATCTTCTGCTAGTCTTCCTTACATTTTAAGAAGGATTATAAATTGTTACTAAAATTACTTTGATGCCGATAGCGGTTACAATAACACAGTCCAATCATATGAGAGATAACTTTACCTTTGAGTTGAGTCCTATGTGAAGGCGTTCTCTTCAGAATCAGCACTGCAAAGACAAGATGATGGCGTCCACCTTCACAACCTGCTGCTTCAGCCTGGCTGCATCATGGTCACTTACAGGAACACCACAGAAACTCAATCAAAGTACTTCACTTTATTTATCAGAGGATGTACTGTATGCAAAGTAGAATCTTTTTTAGCTGTAATTCCTCAAAAAGTTTATTTTCCCTTCTCTCTGTTTGCCTGTACATGACCTTTTAGTGCTGTAAAAGATGCTACAGTAAATCCTGGATCAGCTGTGCGGATGGTGTGACTGTGTGGTAAAGCTTTGTTAAAGTTGTCACGCACATACTCATATGCATCTGGAGAATAAAAGTGCAGTGTGGTGGCAAACTGCTTATAAAATATAAAATAGTATTTTATTGGTGAGGTGCCCCAATCAAAGTGTCCTACAGAGTAGCAGCAGCTTTAGAGGGAAGAGACGAGTGCATTATGGAGAGGAGCGCACCGGAGGGGGCGAGCTGGGGGAGAGATACGACCCGAGAAAAAGGAAATCCCCAGTTTAAAATATAATGTTGGCGAAAAGAGGGAAATAGGAAGAAATAAATATCAATGTTGAAATTCTTTTGAATACAGAGGCTGTGAATGTTCACTGTGGTGAATGGCTATAAAAAGGCAACAATAGCCTGTAGTTTAATCATGGTGTTTCTCTTCGTTAACGATTATTGAAGCGAAATCAAAAATAAATGCATGACATTTAAAACATATTAACATGTGTGGGGGAAAACACGATCTTTATGTCTTCTTTGATTGTGCCTCTGTCTCCTCCTAACTAACGTAACAGCAGCCTGTTGTGTGTAACACTGGTCTCCTGCATTAACACCTTCCTTTCAAAGGTGTTAAATACAGACACAGTCACAATCACCGAAACATTTTTTCGTACAAATTCTGAATGAGCGTCATTAAATGTACAATATGATCAACTTGTGACTGTTGAATTGGTGTGTGGAAGACAATGCAGAATATTTATCACGTTTAAGCAGTATGATGCTCGGTTAATATTACATTACACCACCGCCGGTTGTTGATGTTTGCGTTCACATTTCGGTTAGTCTCTTAAATCAGTAACAGTTATATTAAATCATCTGGATACATAGAGAAATATTCTACCCTCGTATATAGTACTATGAATTTCAGCCTGCACAGTGAAAGTAAAACCTGTTACTCTCGGTATAGCCCACTTATCACTCAGACTGTAAACATGTACACATTAGTAATGATGCAGGCCAGATTACAATTATTTGGCTTTGTTTTTGCCCTCGATACTTTTTTGAGACTTTACCAGACGTTTTTATTTTTGCTGTAAAATAACTGTACAGTCAATGAACCGCATCTGTGAGCGGATTTTATATTACAATTCTTGGTTTTAAATACAATTTCAATCACAATAACGATAGAACAATATCAAGAAACATAGCATGTCAGTTATTAGGTTTGCTCATTTCATAAAATAAAATTTAAAAAAAAATCATGCCGGATAAGTAACCTAACTTTACAACATTTCAGCTAACCTTAGACTGCTTATGTGTTAGCTAGCTAGATAACGACTTTAACCAATGACACATAAATCACTTTTTTACTTACCGAAAGAACTGCAAAGATCCTCTTAGCTCCCACAGGTCGATTAGAACAGTTTACTGCAGAACAACTTATTTTCCAGCTCAAAAAAGACGAAAAAACTGAACGGAAAAATTCAATGGCGTCTCGGCTTTCCTTCACTACATAACTTTTGTTATTCACAAAGAGAGCTACGCAAGATCAGCGGCTGTCAATCATCGTCAAATATGACGTAAAATCCCGTTTTTCAACCTCAAATAACTTATTTAAAACAAACTTCACAGAAAAATGAGCACTTGAACACAATGTAGGGTGATAATAACTAATAATCACAGCAGAGTTTAGGTTTGAAAAAAAATTATGTGACGAGTATTTTAGCTTTACATTTTGACCCACATCCCGTCTGTTATTATTGAGGAGGCGGGGTTTATACAGCAGCCAGTCAGTAGGGGGAACTCTAAAAATAAAAGCTTCACTAGACTGGGGACCTTGTCCTGTCCATTATTTTTACAGTCTATGACTGCGACTCATTGAATCAGGTTTCATGCTTCATGCGGTTGGCGCGGCGATATTGCGCAAACGCGGTCGGCGCGAGAATGGTCCGTGGGCGCGGAGGGTCTGAGCGCCCAGCCGCGCATCTCTGAGATTTTGTAACAACGCGGACGGGTTCGTGCCGACTGCGTTGCAATGATTGGCTGCAGGGCCCGGAAGTACTTTTTTCAGGCCGTGTTGAGCAATCAGAAATGACTTAACGTTCACGGGACCGTAAGAAGCATGACAGCTCGCGTCGCAGATTTACCCCCCCACTACCCAAATATTTTTATTGCATATCATAGTGAATCACACAAATTAGCTAATTGAGATCCAAAACGGCGAATTTTGCCGAAAGGTGACAAGTTTGCACCCCTGATGTAAAGACTTGATAAGTTGCAAAAATGAATTGCAAATTTTGCAAAATACAGAGTGATGTACTTCTGAATTGACCATAGGTTGGCAAACGATCAGCAGCATCCAAGGAACAGGCAGTGTGAAAAATATTTTCCTACAGCTAACTGTTAGTGAGTTATTAGCATTGAAAACAAAATGCTTGATATCTCACCACATGGTGGCGCTATATGTATCATAATATGATATGATATTATTATTTTAAGCATTTTACCATTAGGAACTATATTAAAAAGTATGAATACTTGAGCACCCATAGTTTTGAAGTTATGAGCTTTCAAAGATGTGTCCCTTGGGATTCATTGTAGTATTTAATATTGAAAATATTCATAAAAGATTACTTACATCTTAGCATCAAAAAAGTAATAGTGCACATCTCCTGAACCCGCCATACCATTTTCAGTTGGAATGAAGTTTCCAGCACATAAAATTCAAAGCCACATTGACTGACTTCAAATTGAAGGTAATTTCCTCTCTTTTGCAGGTGTTTAACACTGTCTTACATATCATATTTTAATTTATCATGGGTCACGTTGTTTTGCATTCACAAATATAATTTGAGTTACTATACCTTACATTACTTCAAAAAATAATAATTTAACGACAGTTTTACATTGACTTACTTGAAGATGGTAAGGCATCACATAAAGAGGTCCTTGCTGATTGGGCAGAGCCTGGGACTTGTGCTTTTGAGGCCTCCAACATTGGTTCCTTCCTATCTCTCACAGCCCAGTGTACTGACTGCAAATGACGATATGTTAGGTTACCAGCTTTTCTAAATGATAGAGATTAGAGGCTACTTTAATGAATCTAAATCAAAAAGATGTATTACATACCGTTTTTACAGAGTCATTTAAGGCACACCAGTTGTGAAATGAAACAGTAATACCACTTATTTTCCAAAGGTCATAGTTTTTTCTTTTGGTTTGATTGCACAAAACATCCTTTGCTTCCTGTAGCTTTTGGAAATCTGCCACTGTGGGGAAAAAAGAAAAACATTAAGTCCATGTTGGATCATTCTTACAAACAGATAAAACTGCATATAAATTCAATAAAAATAGAAAGTTGGTGTCATGGTCTGCAGGGACATTTTGATCTAATTTGTTTCCCCCGATACTAGTGATGTAGGATTAAGCCAGTATTCTAATCTATTTTACTTTTCTCATCTGTTGATTTAGTCATGTGACATAGCTAGGTCATAGATTAGAGATGACTTTCAAACCTTATTGAGTATTTTACATTGAAAATGTATTTCACGTGTGACGACCACAGAAGAACCAATGCCACTGCATTTGTGAGGCAGACCTAGGTTGCATGAGCTGGCCGTCACTTCCAATGGTTCATCCTCCTTAGGTGCACTGGCAGCTGCTTTCGATGCACACATAAAGATAGCGTCTGTTTCTGTTGTCTTGATCTGGGTTTCCCTTTAGAAGATTGATCTATAAAGTGGCTGGTATCTTGTTACTGTGGACTTTCTCATACCAAAAATTATAAAGAGCTTGCTGAACAAGCTAGAAAGTTAAGGTAAGCAACTTCTCTTCTCATCTGAGCAAATGTTAACTCATCACTGTTTAAATTGCAATATCTTAAAAACTATAAAATGTAAAAGTTTAAAATAGAAATCAATGTATTAATTCACAACAATTAAGAGAATAATTTTGGCCTTTTATCTAAACGTTTTTTGTGAAACACTGAGGATTGAGCTCTCCTTATCACAGGGGGACACCATTTTGGAAAAGTATATGAGATGGATTTATTTTACTAAATTCCAATTCAAGATATCGGTTAATGGATAATGTCTTCCCTCTATTAGACATCATTCAGTCCTTCTGGTCTACATCACTGTGCAAAGAAGTCAGTGCTGCCATTTGCTTCTTCAACGCTCATATTTAGCTAGAAGTTAGTGCTGGTTACCAAACACTGGGATTGTGTCAGTAATCACACACTAATTCTCTACTCTCACTCTGCAGTACACCATATACTGTAGTAAACAAAAAAAAAAACAATTGGATCCTACTTGCTCTCATCAAGATTGATGTGTATGAACTACCAAACTCCATTTGAGTCCCTTTGCACCTTTAAGAAAAAGCTAAAGACCCAGCTCTTTCATGAATACCTACGACCGGACTCTCAGCTTGTGTACTGACTAGATCTAGGAAAAGGGACCACATTACTCCTGTATTGGCTTCTCTGCACTAGAACAGCTCATAGTTATGCTGCTATAGGCTTAGACTTCCAGGGGAACTGGCACCTTGACTTACTATCTCTCCATCTCTCTTCACATTCCCATCATATTACTGCATGTCACTATCTGTAAACCTGCATGTACTATGTAACATACTAACCACATATTTTCCAGGGAGCTCCGAAGCTCTCTTTTCTCATAGGTTCCTCTGGATCATTGGTGGGAATCGCATGCTGCATTGCCCCCACCCCAGTTTGTCCCTGTCCTTCTTTCTGCTTCTTCCTCTATCCCATTTTTCAATCCCAGTGCAGTTTGGGCAGATGGCTGTTCATCATGTCTTGTTTTTTCCCAAGATTTCTGCCTCTCAAAAGGAAGTTTTTTCTTGCCACTGTAACTTTGCTAAATGTTGCTTAATGCTGTGCTTATGATGGATTACCATTGGGTCTTTGTAATATAGAAATTAGTAAGGTCTTTTATTTATTTTTTTGTAATATTGTATAACAACAATGGTACCAGTCGAAAAAGTCGGTAAAAAGCAACCGTGCACAATTTTTTGCACCACCATCCAGGTGACTCTGGTGCCTACAGTATCCTCAACCCCCTACCTGCCCTATAAGCAAATTGAAACGGGTCTAATTTTTCCTGAGTTGCACAAAAATTGTAATTCCTAGCAATCTTCTTAAAGGTATCAACTTCAAACTCCTCACCTACAAAGCCCTACACAACCTGCCCCCCCCCCCTTCCTGTCTGAGCTCCTACACCGGAACACTCCCACCCGCACTCTCAGGTCTGCCGATGCAAACTTCATCCCCCCTGCAGGATAAACTATCGGTCCTGGGGGCACAGGGCCTTCTCCATTGCAGCTCCCACCCTCTGTAACTCACTTCCAAAAAACATTTGAGACTCCCCCACACTCACTTCCTTCAAGAAATCAAATCGTCTTTGAGTTTCTAGAAAAGTCGCCTGCTGATATTATCTGGGCCAGGACTTTTCCTTTCTTTCACTCCCCTGAAGAGTTTAAATCACCCATAACAAAGCTGGGTGCATCATCTGGTGCAATGCTCTGTAGCCTGTGTACAGGTGTCGCAATGGTCCGAGTTGCAATATCAGCATTTGCCTTTGGGTGGATATAAACAAGAGTAATAACAGAACAGATGTTGTTAAAAGTTCTATATCAGGGTTGTACAGTGATTCCCTTATAAACGCTGTGTTACACCAGTTTTTATTAACATATAAACAGAGCCCACCACCCAGTGATTTCCCAGTCACTGCCGGGTCTCTGTCAAATCGCAGCGGTTCGCCAAAGCCTTTTATTTCCAGATCAGATTGAAGATCATGCTGCTTGAGCCATGTCTCCATCAGGGCAATAACACAGGCGTTCTTATACTCCAATAAAAAGTGGACATTTGCCTGTAGAATGTCAATCTTGTTGCGGATGGACTGTGCACTTTGGTGCACTCTGCCACGTCTGCCCCTTTTCCTCACCGCCGTTGGTTTGGATTTCCAACTCCTACTCCCCACGGAACAACCATGCCGAATGATTTCTGAGAGGAATGCCGTGGAGTCCAATACTCCTGTATCGGAGTCCCAAAGTAGCAAGAGGAATTCCTGGCTGTATTGAAGTGACTCAGGATACTCAGAGAGTCCTCTCAGAAATTGACAGAAAAGCATCAGGATAAGGAAAAGGGACACCAGTCTGAGGTAAGTCATTGTTGACTCAACAATCACAGTAAATACGTTAAAAAGATAAGTTAGTCAATTTTAGGTCAATCTGATTTTTTTTTCTGATTTGATAAAATTATTGACTAATTAAATAGTTTCAAATGTCCTTCATTAAGTATTAAGATTTATTTTAATACAATTTATTTATTTTTTTGTCCTGCACCTGTATGCATTTTGCTTGGATGAGTGCACACTAGTCTTATTTCTCTTTTTGACATTGTCTTTCATTCATCATTTTTCACTCTCAACACAGACATTTTAATTTATCATTAAAAGAAAACGTCCTTAACTGTGGAAGTAACAACAAGTGATAATAAAAAAGGTGATGAAAAACATGTGATTTGAAAATGTGTGTGAATTGAAAATAAAATTGATAATGCATCGATTAGATCTTCACCATTCATTACATCCAACAGACATTTATCATTTACTACATGCAGTGTTTGTTACTTCAACATTTATTATTTATAACAAGCAATTTTGTTTCAACCCATTCCAACGTTCTGTTCGACTCTCGACCTTATTGTCTGCACAGCAAGAAGACAAGGATGTGAGCTATTAAGTGTATTTAAAGATTTACTGCTTTCATCACTGAATCCACAAAAATCAATGTAGGAGTCTCTGTAGGCTATATTTACAGTATCATGGTATCATGGTTCAAATATCATGGTTTTGACTCCTTGTTTATTTTGTTATTTTTTAGTGAAATGTTTTTCTAAAGTTCTACTATTCTTAGGTTAGGGCTTTTTTGTTGTGTGTTTTTTGGATCTGTTCTTCCTCTGTTTCCAGTTTCAGAGGTGTGGGGCTGCATCATCATCTGCAGCACTTATACCCCACCTCGACTTCCAGCAACGCAGATTGTCGTTGCACTTCTGTGGTATATAGGCCTCTTAGAATCTTTGGAGATTGTCGTTGTCCTTTCTAATGAGATTCTTACGATTGTTCTGTTTTTCCTTTTCAAGTATCTCGCTCTGATTGTACCAGCTCTCCTGAACGCCGCCAGCCTCACCACCATTCCAAACATTCACTTGTGTCCTTGTGTCCAGTGGTTTGCTGTTTTATTTCACTGTCCTCTGGTGTTTCAGATGAGTGTCAGCTTAAACAGCTTAAATATTTTTGATTTTACAGGTAATTTTCATAGAAATTGTAATGATTTATAATCTCCAACATCAATTTCTCATGAGAGAGACAAGGTGCGCAACAATGTTGTCCCTGACTTCATCTGCAAGGGTCAGGTCGTTGTCAGACAGAAAACTCTTCAAGTTTGGGAAAGCTAAAACATAACCTGTTTTGACCTTGTTTTCAAATAACCATCTTTTTCATTATTGCCTTGATTTTGTCCTATACATCAAAATCACTGTAGCCCCAAATTCAGCTAATTTAAATGACAGAAAATGTCCGACGGGCATGCCACCTGACTGAGCCACACTGTGCCTTCAAAAACGTTTTGTCCTGTAAGAACATGTTGACCTCCATGCAACTCGAAAAGCCTCGAAAGCACCTCTCCGCTTGAAAGCCACCTTACTTCTGTGTGGAGCAGAAGTTAGTCACTGCCCATCTCATCACAGAGCACACAAAATACACGAGAATGCATCGGTCTTGCCTTTATGAAGTTGTTTTCACAGCTGAGTCTTGTACAAACTTAAGCTCTTTGGGCATTTTCTTCACTGCGAGGGCCTCCTGATGGATGCTGCATTGAGTCCATCTTATCTCCAGTGCAAAGTCACAAATTCGGGCTTCTACTCCGCTTCTACTCCTTCTACTCCGTTGGGGCGTCAGAGCCCTTGTGCCATCAGTGCACACTCCAATACACTTTTTCCAATCGAGCTCATTCTTTTGCAACAAGCATTCAGGAGCTGGAATATGTGTTAAGTTGTAGTTCTGGTCTGAAGTGACTGACAGAACAGAAAGTCCTCTTGAGCTGTGCTATGATGTTCATTTCTTATGTTAACGAGAAAATTGGCCATACCTGCAACATCTGCAGTCCCATCGAGCTGTATAAAAAATAACCACTACTTTCAATACGCTGAATCAGTGTGCTTTTAACATCCTCTGACATTGCTTCTATT